AGAATTCAAGTTTTCATTGATAGGGAAAAAGAGAGCATCATATACAAAAAGTAACACCAAATGTTCTGTCATATCAGATTTCTAACTAATAATAAACTATATATTTCTATTTCATATAGGATAATCTTGCTCCAACTTGGATGGGGTGGAGCGCTGGTTCCTCCCCTCAACCCTTTATTATGGGTACTGTATTACCCCTTTTGCTACCTTTAATCCTTTCACTGTGACTTATGTGTAGTGGGGTGAGGGAGGGAGTGGGAAAGATAGTATTATACCACAGTAGGGACAATATAGTATTTACATTCTAATCCCCTTTTTAATGGTCTTAAATTCTCTTTAAAAACATACCTTTGTGAATTTACCCTCTGTGGATTTTAGTTCCGATGGTTGATTTCCTTATTAAGTTTTACAAGAAATGATTCAGTTATGTATAGATTGAGTTATCCATTTATGGGAGATTATTTGATGTTGTTGGTGAGGGTGGGAAACCCTTTATGTAGGTTGACTGTGCAAAAATTTTAACTTGTCAATCCAGTGATACTGTTTGAGGCACACGACATTTACCTTTTTAGTACGTTGGTCTGGGACTTGAAAACTGCCCTCCTGGTACCAGCAGTTGATTCCTTGCTTTGTTGATGTGTGTGAACAGATGCTAAGGTGCAATATTCCAGGTTTCCTAAGACTGGTGTTGATTGTGTGACCATTCTAATTCTTTTATTGAGTATAAGTTTACAGTGGTTATTTTGGAAATGTAATAAGGCAAAAAAATATTAAGAGTTAAATGACCATAAGTGATTTGTGTTTTAAAATGGGAAAAAATAATATAAAAGTACCCACTTACTTGAATTTACACACTAGAGCACCCCTCTAGAAATAAAAACATCTTATCGTGAGTATTAAGATAGAACTTAATGCGTAAAATCACTTCTTAGACTAAGTAACTTCTAACTAACTTCTTAAAGGAGCCCTGGTGGTACAATGATTAAAGCGCTCACTTACCTGCTAACCGAAGGTCAGTGGTTCAAAATCACCCACTTGGCTCCGTGGGAGAAAAGACCTGACGATCTGCTCCGATAAAGTTTACAGCCTAAGAAATCCTATGGGGCCGTCCTACTCTGTCATATAGGGTTGCTATGAATTCGAATCAACTCTATGGCACACACAACAACACAACTAACTTCGTAAGATCTTAAAAGATATAATAGTGAAAACATAGGTAGAAAAAAATAGAAATATTGTTCAAGAAGATGAGTTTTTATTTTTGAGGGGGATAATTGGATAATTGATATATTGTATCTTTCCAAAATAATTACCTTAATTAAACCCTGCAACACAAATACAATCTTGAGATATGAAAAAGGTACTATTACTCTACTTCCTGCTCAAAAGGATCCCTAGTTTGCTTCCTTTTGATTTTTATTCACACAGTTTTTCTGTATTTCTACCAGAGAAACATTAGAATCCAGGAGTAGTATTGATTTCAAAATATTTAAAAAATAATTAATTCAGACAAGAAGACATTTATGCTTATATTCACATTCCTAACATTAATTTGAATATTTAATTATCAATCTCTCATTTAAGTATTGATTTTTAAAAAAAAAAGATTATGAACCAGACAAAGAGAGTTTCTATAAGAACTGTGAGATTTGACTTAAGTGTGAGATTTGGGAAATTCTACTGGATGGCGTTTTGAAAAACTTTGTGAGAAGCAGCAATATCTGGTATTAATTCATTAAGATAGTTCCTTTCTTAGACATCTCCTTTTATGCAGCCTGAAACCTCAATCTATTCAGGCCAGTTCTGCCTGGTGACTCAGCCGCATAGGAACCAATTGCTTCAGTTCCCTAGGGACTGAAAAGAGTTAATATACTTCCCTCTCTGCTGAAGCAAGGAATGCTTTGGAGCTCTTGGGGAAAGACAATCCTTTCTATGATCTTTCGTTGTCTAATGTAGTGAAATCTTAAATATGAGTGCACTTTTGTATAGTAAATTCTCCAATACTATGCCAGATGTTTTCCAAGATAAAGTTCCTTATCTTAGTAAAAATAAAACTTTTCTCTGGACCAAATGAGTGCCAATGTTGCAAATCATATCTAGAAATGCACTGCTACAAAGGGTTTGCTAGAATCATGAATTTCATAGTTGAGCCGATTTTAAGGCAAAACTAACCCCCTGGTTCCAAAGTAAACATCTCAGATTTACTTAATCCCAAACTTTTCCTTGTATTCAG